CCAAGGATAATCAAGGTCTAACGTCAGCGAAGGTAAGCAGTGCAGTTGAGTCAAAACCTGAAACCCCAGACCTAACGGGAGTCTCGAAAATGTGGGAAACCCGACGAGGATGCTTATAGGATGCGTACCGCATCTCCCCCAAAGCCCCCTGGTTTGAAAAGCACTCTTATGAATCCCTTACAATACTTTCCAAAATGCTTTGCAAGACCCTTGCCCCCTAAACCCTCAACCCTAAACCCTAAACCCTAAAACCCAATGCCTAGAACCCTCCTGTAGCTCTCTTACGCAGCCTCAACGAAAGCCTGAGCCCTTCAGAAGAGCCAGGTCTGGCATCCTAGGCCCTCAACGGTTTAGGGTTTAGGGTTTAGGAAGCCCTAGAGGCCTTGTTTGAAAGTCTTGAAGGAGCCCAAAAAAAACCCTTCGAACCTCCAACACGTGCGTGTAAAGACGTTGGAAAAACAGTACCGTTGATGATATGAATCCTGCATTACCTGAAGGACCCTAAACTATGGGAATTATGGTATATTCCTTATTATGGTTAATGCTGGATTTATATCATCAACCGTAGGTGCGACTGCCACACATTCACGCCGCCAGGGCGCAGCATACTGCAAGAGCCCTCAACGGGAACTCCCAAATGGAGCCCTTAACCCTAAACCCGAAACCCTTAAAGGGAGTGCTTGAAGGAAGCCTCTGAGGGACCCGTTTCAAAACCCAGTATAGTACGGCACCTTTATCAAAAGATTATAAACAAGGATCCGACAAGGAACCCTAATTTAGAGAACTACCCCCCTTTTGCAAAACCCCGCAACCCTAAACCCTAAACCCAAAACCCTAAACCCTAAACCCTAAACTCCAAACCCTAAACCCTAAACCCCAAACCCTAAACCCTAAACCCCAAACCCGCAAAATCCTCGGAGGAGTTTCCATGGCGATGGTTCGACAGAACAGCCAGTTCAGGTTTCCGATGTACACTGCGGCCTTGCTGCTTTTTGGAGGTCTAAGAGGGTCTAAAGTTCAGGGTTTAGGGTTTCGGTTTAGGTTTCAGGGTTTAGGGTTCAGGGTTTAGGTTTGTCTGACTTTTTTGGTTATTGGGTAGAAGTTCATTTGCGAGTTTCCTAAATTTCTGCATTTGTTTTACTGGGGGTTGCCAAGTTCCGGATGCGTGCAGGGGCTCGGTTTACGGTTTAGGGATTCAAGTTTTGGGGGCGTCCTGTGTTGATCTAAGCTAGCTTGCATCGCCACTGCTTTCTAGAAGTACAGATGCCCCTTAGGGCATTCGGTTTAGGGTTTGGGGTAAAGTTTAAAGTCTTGTAGGGTTTAGTGTGAAGAGAGTGTTAAACCTCAAGTGTGCAGGGAAGGAGCCCTCTAGAGGGTATATAGGGTCTTCGGTTGTTGAAGGATACACAAAAAGGTCTGTAGCGGCACTTCAACAGTTCTGTAGAAGTCCAATCTGTTGCTTAGGGATTGCGGTCTTGGGGTTAGTTTGGGTGTAGGGTCTCCAGGTCTTCGGATGAATGATGCGGTTCAACCCTGTAAAGCAACATCCAAAAGCCTAAACCTGAATTCGACCCTAGACCCTAAACCCTAAACACTGCAGAAAGCCTCAACCCTATATTATATGCGCCCCCATAGCCCGTAAACTTCAGGCTCTCGGCGCAATCCAGTGACTTAGAAGTGGGGTTCCCGGGTTGGGGTCGCCCAGACCCCTAAACCCTAGAAATTTTGAACCCTAAACCCGAGAGCCCTAAAGCCCCAAAACGTTAGCGTTAAGGGTTTTAGGGTTCAGGGTTTAAAGCCTTAAACCTTAAACCCTAAACTAAACCCTAAACCCTTCAACCCCTAAACCCTTAAACCCCTAAACCCTAAGTTAGGGTCTAGGGTTTAGGTCTTACAGCGCTCTAAGCGCTGAACGCTCGACCCAAAGACCCGAAACTCCCAAACCGAGGTTGCGCTCGACGTGTTCCTGCAGCTGAAGGAGGTCTTCTGCACGAAGCTCCCAAACCCCTAAACTCTAAACCCTGTTAGGGTTCAGGGTTTAGGGTTTAGGGGTTTAGGGTTTAGGGTTTAGGGTTTAGCCCCCAAACCCCAGACGTTAACCCCTAGAGCCCCAAGCCCTAAAGCCCAGGTCCAGCCCCACGAAGAGCTCCTGTCTGCTGGGAAGTTGACGGAGTTCGAGGAGTTGAGCCACACATGGCCCAACATGCCTCGGGGGTTTACTCTAGGGACTTAAGTAGTTACCAATATTGTTTTGAGGTTCCTTGTTATGGATATCCATGCCCCGTCTAATCACTTCGGCCCCCCATAATTAGGGCTTTACAAAGCGTCTCGAGGGTTCGTGGGATCTTTTGTAAGGGCTTGGAGAGTCTAGCAGGTTTTGTGGGGTAGATAGTAACCTGATCGTCGCCCGCAAGGAAATCCTTACGAAACCCTAACCCTAAACCTTACAGTTCCCCCCTATAGCAGCCCTTAGCTTGGTATGCCGGCTCTCACTTCTGGGGTGGGTCAGCGGAGATGTGACCCAAGGGCCACCCGGGGCTTCACGGCCCAGAGAGGAAGGCCCGAGCCACCACTTTCGAGCTTCCTTGGAAGGGCTGCTCGATCCCTAAACCGCAAAAGGATCTGTGAATGCTCTTACAAAAGCTCAGAAAGACGCTCTCAAAGGATTTCCGGAACCCTATAACCCTGCAAGCGTAGACTCGGTGAAAAGAGCACTAAACCCTAAACCCTAAACCCTAAACCCCTAAACCCTAAATCCCAAACCCCAAACCCCAAAGGAAGACCTGGGGGCGGCCATGTTTGTCTCTCACCAGTGGCTCGCCAACGACCATCCGGACCCCAACGCCGAGCAGATGAAGGCTACCCGGGTTTAGGGTTTAGGATTTAGGGTTTAGGGTTTAGGATGATATTTACGTATTTGTGCAGTGCAATACAGAACTGGTTGTTTGTTCGACGCCTGTTCCATTATTGAGACTTTTCTTAAGCCACCTTTTTCTCTTTCGTCTTATGAAATATCCCTTTAGGCAGGGCAGTTGGACCCAAAACCCAACAAACCTTCAAGGCCCAAACCCAAAAACCCTCAAGGCCCCAACCCGAAAACCCGAATGGCCCTTGAGCGGAAGGTTTTTGGATCCCTGTGTAGAAACCCAATCCCTGAACACCACGGCGTATGCCTTGAGGGGCAAACCTTAGGGCATCGAAAAACCGTACAAACGCTGTAAGAGCCGTTTCAAAATAGAAACCCTTCTAGAGCGCTTTAAAGTTACAGTAACCTCTACGACTCTACGGTAACCCTTTAAAGTTACAGTAACCTCTACAGAAACCCTACTTCTATACAGCCCTAAACCCTAACCACCTCCCAAAAAAATAAAATAAAAAAACCTAAACCCTAAACCCTAACCCACCAACAAAAACAAAAAAAGGCCATAAACCCTAAAAGCCAAGCAGCGGCAAGGTGCTCCAGGATGCCTTGGAGAACCTCCGTTCAGGCATTTTTTAGGGGCTTTTGGGACGGAGAAGTCGCCTGCGGGCTTCTTTGTGTAGGGGTTTTAGGGCTGAGGGTTTTAGGGTTTAGGGCTTAGCGCTTAGGGCTAAGGGTTTAGTGCTTCGGGTTTTAGGGTTTACGGTTTAGGGTTAAGGGGTCCAAAAAAGGGCTGGTAGAGGTTTCTTTCGCAGATAGGTTAAGTATTCCGTTGGGTTTCAGAGGGCATTGTAGGATGTATCGAGGGTTTTACAAGGGGTTTCTGAGGTTTTGCTAGGTTCTCTAGAGTATCTGGTATTTCAGAATGTTTCAGAGAGTTTTGAAAGGGGTCCTATTTTTTAAATTTGTATTTTGAGCGCGCCTTAGAGCGGTCCTGATAACCAAGGTCCCATTATCGAAGGTTATCCTCGGGCCTGTTTCAGGAGACTCCCAGTTTCGGACTTGTCTCTAGATTCCTGGGGTCGAGGGCTATTGGGGTTGAGGGTTTAGAGCTATTGGGGTTTACATAGGGCTATGGGGGTTTAGGGTTTAGGGTTTCCCAGGATTTGGGGGCGAAGGAGGGGATCACGCATGACCGAGCTTGGTTTCTGTCGACCCGCAACTCCACACCCTCTAGCGTCCAGTCATGCGCGCAAAATAGAAGCCAGAATACTTCCCAATACTTGTCCTTAGGGTTCTTCTTCTTATTATTATCATACCTATAGTACAATATATATATATACATACATACATACATACATACATACATACATACATACATACATACATGTCCAACGTCTAACGATCTGACTCAATCAATTTGTCAAGGGATTCTGAAAGATTAAAGCACTCGTGGAAGTTTTTCCTCGCAAGGCGGAGTCTTACTACGGTTGCTGGTACAAATCCTGCATTGCCCATGATACGGAATATACCATAACTCGCATAGTTTAAGGTCCTTCAGGTAATGCAGGATTTCTATCATCAACAGTACCATGCCGGAGGTGTAGAACAGCATGCAGAGCGAGCTGGGGATACTCCAAGCAACGGGAGGAAGCCAAGTGGAGAGGAAAAGTGTAGCTGCAGAGTTCCAACAACTTGCCCGTCCATTTGCGAGGCACAACGTCGTGTATACTCAAAGCGGAACCAATGTAGTTCGGACAGTTCTGCCTAAGTGTCGAGCTGCAGAAGACAATGTATGGAAGTGCGTTTGGTTGCATGTCGAGGATGTGTTTTTACCCTGCCAGAGTCTGCAAGAGATAGTTCAAGGAGATCTGATTTGCTTCGGCTTAGATAGAAGCCTGATGAACAAAGGTATGCAAGGAGCCGAAGCTCCACGTTGTAAGGAATTCGTCCGAATACAAAGGCACGGAAGCAGCCTGAGTCCAAGTCAGACAGGCCAGAAGGATCCGTATCATAGGGACTCATGCCTCACAACTGATAAGGACTCATAATGAGGCATCCCTTCGCAGCAAGAAATCTCCCGCCACACTGCTCGTGGTGGCCAGGCAGAATCAACATCAACACCCCGATCGTTACAGAGATGGTGTTCGGCCGTGCGTCGAAACCTTCGTCGAAAGACTTCACCGGCACTTCTCTGTGCTCCAGATGCACTTAGAACATGTTTTCTTGTGTGTCTTTACCGCAAACAGGCCGGAAGCCACTGCTCTAACCCTACGGCCCCAAGGCCCTTAAACCCTAAGGCCCCAAGGCCCTCAAACCATAAGGCCCCAAGGCCCTCAAACCCTACGGCCCCAAGGCCCTTAAACCCTAAGGCCCCAAGGCCCTTAAAACATAAGGCCCCTAAACCCAGATTCGAAATTCGAAAGCCATTCATTCACCCTCCTGGAGCCTCGCATCGCGAGGTACATCTGGTACGACTTTTTCTCCTGCCCTCAAGATATGCATGGAGAAGCCCCGCTCCACCGAAGGCAGGCCATCAACTCGATCGTGAGTTATATCTCTCAGTGCCTTGCCAAGAGCGGGGGTTAGGGGAGTTTGTGTGGAGTTTCGCCCCTTTTCCCCCGATCGTAAAGTGTCGTCGCAGCTTCTGAGCGCAAAGCCTAAACCTCAGATTTTTATCAGTCATCAACCCCAAACCTACAACGGCCGACCGAGGTGCAAGTACTTTGTCATCCTGTGTCCGGCCTTGACTCATGTGGATCTGCATCAGGAGCTCGGTCAGGAGACCTGGGCAGAGCGTGGGTGGTGCAGCAGCTCGACCTTTCTAAACCCTAAACCCTGAATCCTAAACCCTAAAGCCTGAATCCTAAACCCTGAATCCTGAATCCTAAACCCGAAGTCCTAAACCCTAAACCCCAAACCCTAAACCCCAAAACCCTAAACCCGAGGCCCTACACCCTCGACCCTACGACTTGGACAAACCCAGGAACGGAGCGCCTGTCCCGGGAGCTTGCGGAGCGCAAGGAGGGTTTTTGGGTTTAGGGGGGAGGGGGGGGGTTTAGGGCCTTTAGGGCTTTGGGGTTTGGGGTTTAGGGTTATTTGGGGTTTAGGGTTTAGGGTTTGGGGGTTTGGGGTTCGAGAGCTTCTCCGTGACCGCCGGGGTCAGGTAGCATAGGGTTTTTGGGTTTTGGGGTTCTCGGTTACATACTATAGGGTCGGTCATTCCGAGCAGGTGATCGTTTCCGATTTTCGACTATAGTTTCCAGGATTTTAGATCGGAGTCAGGGACAAGGGTAGTTGCCATGTATAGGAGGGTTTAGGGCTTAGGGTTGCCATGCGCATGGGGCGACGTCTCTAATCGTGTAGCGTTCATTTTCATCGGAGTAGGATGTGCTGGACATGAAGTTTATGTTCTGGGGGAGATTGACGAGGAGCTTCGGATGTTTGCGATTTCGCATCTCTGGTTTAGGGTTTAGGGTTTCGGAGGTACAGTCGAGGGCATCACGTAAGCCCAGTTTCAGAAAGCCTTTCTGGCATCCTTCGTAGGAAACTTAAGGGAGGCGAAAGTGCGAGCCATGGAACCCGCGAAGGAGTGTGGCATATCTCTGAAGGCACATCGAGGGTCCTAGGGTTTAGGGTTTAGGGTCCTTCAAATCTCCCTAACGTAGTACCTGGATAACCTTTGAAATGGTGAGGGGCCCACTACACACGAAACTTTTCAAGGTTGCCAGCAAGAGGTTTTACAATGTAGGGTCAACGTCAAGTTGATACCTGAAGCAACAAAGGTCGGCAAAAGGAGGTGGCGTACCTGCTACAATCTCTTCCCGCTGTTATACCCAAAGGGTCCTAGGTACCGTTATGGGGGATGCTTTCCCAAATCATCTTCGGAGCCTTTGGGATGCAATCCACTAACCTCGAGGTTCCAAGTAACTTCCCCTTAAAGAATTAGGTTCCAAAAGACCATCCTTGTCAGGGTTTTAGGGAGCGAATTCCATAATGGTACTAGATATGGAGCCTCCGGGTAACTTCCGTGAAGAAATTGTAGTGGTCGTGTGAGGGGTTGGTACTTTCAATCTCCCCCACACTTTGCATCAAAATAGCCCAAAGCCTTGCACAATAGGGTCTTTGGGCCCAAGAACCTTAAAATATGAGTCCTTTGAGCCTTAGAGTTAAGGAATGACTGACTGTGCAAACCCATACCCGGTACTTTCAATCTTCCCAGGGGATCCGCTTTAGGTGAACATCCGGGGTTTGGGCGGGGGTTGGTTCAGGGCTTTAGGGCTTGAAAATCGTTGTGGTTGAGGGCTGTAGGGCCCTGAAACGGTTTAGGGTTTAGGGTTTGGGGTTTTAGGGTTTTGGGGTTTTGGGTTTGGGGTTTTGGGTTTAGGGTTTTGGGTTTTGGGTTTATAGGGTTTCGGAGCTATGAACCTTAAATCCTAAACCCTACACCCTAAACCGTGAACCTGGAATCCTAAACCCCAAACCGTGAACCTTGAATCCTAAACCCTAAAGCTGCAGGACGTTCGGATTCGGGGCTTCAGGGTGTCAGCGGTTATCGGCAGCTGCGGCTTGAGGATTGAGGGTTTAGGGTTAAGGGTTTGGGGTGTAGGGTTCAGGGTGTAGGGTGTCGGGTTTAGGGCGTAGGGTTTACGGTGTAGGGTTTAGGGTTTATAGGGTGTAGGGTTCAGGGTTTAGGGTTTAGGATTGAGGTGTTGGGTGACCTTGAAGCCCTACTAGTTGTTTGGGTATTTGGACCGTTAGGGCACGTAATACTTCAAAAGGTCAAGCTTTTATTGGGGCCAGGGCGCTCAGCCCCTGTGGAACCGACTTGAAGGAACCCTGGTGAAGGAACCTCCTCGACCCGGGGAGCCTTCCAACCATGTCGTCTCCCTGATGAGGTGCCTGAGCCCTAAACCCTAAA